AACAACCAGGAATGTAACTTCCTGATTTGAGGGCAGTCTAGCAATGGTGGGGTACAGTATAATTAAAATTAGAATCAGCAACAAATTAAATTCTGATCAGTAAAGACCATCCCTCTTCTGTACATGTTACATCAGACTGTCACTGATAGTAAGTCTTCTTTCCCATGAAAATAAACTCTGTTTTCTTTTCCTCAGCAGAATTCTGCTCCCATCTGCACAGAGCAGTCTAAACCCAGATATAGCGCTTGGACAGTTTGTACCCTTGTGAGATATTCTGCATTTTATACAAATTAAGCATTGTCCTTGCTACTCTGGAACAGGATGAACCTCTTTTCCTATCTTGTTTCCTTTGTAGAGAAAACACTAATCATGTAATTGACATCTCTAGGTAGGACAAATGGTTTAAGTGATGAGTTTCTGCAAAATGTAGCAAAGCCTGAAGAAAATTAAATCTGTAATCATTCATCCAAGCTCATTATAAAACAAACAAACAAAACCAGTGACCTAACGAACACACACACAAAAAAAAGTCAATTTCCTGCAATAAAAATACAATAGTCTTGTTTGGCTTGCTAACACAATGGCTCCCTCTGCAGGGTGACATATCTTATCTGGATATAAAATGGTCTTGCTATGTAACTGATGTGTATCTCAAGTTGTTTCCAATGGAAGCTGACAAATTCTCAGGATCAGTGAATCCCCTGTGTTCAGATGAAACTGTGTGTTATGTGCAGAATCAATGTATGATATATTAGATTGAAAGTAAGTGCTGTCTCACCTGAACATTATTCTCTCAAAAATTTTTGTATGTACCAGTTCTGTTCCCTTCCACACTGCTAAATCCATGACAACCTCACAAACCTCCTTGCAATAAAACAGAGATCTCAAATATGTTATGCTTCCCTCCTTACTTAGCAGAGTCCACACATCTGAGGCCTTCTTTCATAAAAGAACAAAATATTGATGAAAGAATGTAAAAACTGGTTAAAAATATAAATAGAAAAAAATAAGAATAGGGAAGGGACAACACTCAGAAAAACAACAATGCTTAGTTACACTGAAAATTCTATTTCTAATAAAAAGAAATATATAGAAAAAGAAAGGAAGACATGGTTATCAAGCTTTATGATACTTCAAAATTCAATGTCATTTCTATTTCTGTTCATTGTCTTTTAGAGATTCTTCCTTTCAAGAAAGAAAATGAAATCTTGAAATCAGAGGACAGAGTTGAACAAACACTCCAGAAAGGAGATATGGTCAATCAAAAATGAAATTGAAAAATCACAAAAATTTGAAATGGAGTAACTACAACCAATTGTACTGAGTTGAAATGTGGTTAAGAGAAAAAGACCAAATCTTGCCCAAATTATTCACTTTGAAATCCCCAAAATCAGGAAAGAAAGGGAAACAAAGAGACAGAAGAGAAACAGAAGAATTGAAATTGCAAAAAAAAAAAGAAACCACCTGATAGGAGGTGAAAACAAGAAAAGCCAGTGGGTTGACCTGAGGTGCAGGAATATGGCCCGAAGCTTGCCCAATTGACCCTCATTGAACTCACAACATTTCATTCCCTTTCCTGCTTTATGCCAAGTCTGATGCTAATAACGTGCCTTCTCATGTGTACCAATTATGAATTTAATTTCTTCAGATTTAACATGTTACACAAGTTTTTATTTTATATAAACCTGGTCTGGGGAGAGCAAGAAAGAGCATTCTTTATGTTTGAGCTGGATAGATGGAATGCAGAGCCAGGTCAGAGCAGCAGGCAAGGCAACCATGGGCATCAGGCAAGTGGAGTTCAAAGGCTGCAGCTCTTGCCTGCGGCAGAAGAAAATGGAGATCAGGTGTGGGCTTCTCCCTCCTGCTTGTCTTCCCAGTTTTGCTGCCACAGAGAGAGGGATGGAGGCATGCACAAGTACCAGGCTAACCCCAAGGGGCCACCTACTGCCAATCCTAAGTAGCAGCAGGAACAGGCATTCCCATCCTCTGGGACAGTTCCAGCCTCACCCTCCTCCTTTTTTCCTTCATGAGAAACGACAACGCTCCTTAACCGTGGTGACATAGACTGACAAAATACCTGAATGCAGATATTTTCAAACTGAGATGTTTGCATTTACGTCAAATATGAGCTTGTGAAATCTTCCACCACCATAGCCAGATTTTTCTCATCTCTTACCTCTTGATATTAGACAGGCAAATTCTGTTCTTGAGCTGAAGGTTGTTTATATAAGCCAAGAATAAATGTATTCTTAAAAGCTGCTCTTTCTGGGTGGTTTAGCACAGTATAGTGGTTGCATATCCACTTCACTTAGCTGATGCAGTATTCTAGCAGGAAACAGCAGCAGGAGACCAATGTTATGCAGAGCACAAGCAAAAAGGGTGTCCTTGTGAATACTGATCTCCTGACTGATGTAATCACTGTGATAAAAAAAAAAGTCAATAGTATAAGGCCCAACTCTTCTGCATGAAGTTAGATACATTCAGCACAAATCTGGTTTCTTCCAGGAGCTGAAAAAGGAAGGTCACACGGAGCAGATCTGTTGCCATCCAACAGTTTCTTGCCTCCATGGGATCCAGCACAGCAGCAGAAGCCCCAGGTAAGTCCATGGGCACGGCTTCACAGGATTCATGACAGCCTCAAAACATAGGGTGAGAGGGGACCTCTTCCCCAGCATGAAGGAGATGCTGAAATGCCTCCCAGCTGTCCTGACACACCAGGTGCTGGGAGGCAACAAGTAAACTGAGGCTTCTGCATTTGCAGATTAAAAATGGCATTTTAGCTAAATCATTATATGTATTTTTCTATTAATGCACGAAATCAACAAAACATCCTTAAGAGAAATTAATTTGCTCTGAGGTTATCATGGTACTCACCACACCCATAATTCCCTTTGCATGACAGGATCATGAACACTGTTATCAACTAGTTTATTTAAAATCTTCATTAATTATACACCCTGCTTGTCCCTTCTTATCCTTTTGTCCTTCCCACTTTCTATTTCTACTATTTCTTGGTCTGCAGTTCTGTTACTCAATAAACAACTAATTGTCCAAATGCTAATTCTAACCATTGTCCATTGCCTGTAATAGGAGAGAAAGGTCCTGCATCAGTCTTTTTATTCACACTATTATAATTTTTCCTGTTGTGACAACACCAGAATAAACCAAAGATGGATTTTTAATTTTTTAAAAAGATGATGAAACAGTGAATAACCTGATGCTACTCAAAAGACTGGCAGTTACAACACTTAAATTCTGTAGCAGGGTGTGATTTTTGAAACAGTGCTGCAGTAAGTACAGGAAATAGTTATATTTAAAAGATGAGCAAATAGGACTGCAGCACACTAACTTCACAGAGCCACACTTACAAAGCTCATGACAGGCTACAAGAAAAGGTTACCACCAACACTTCAAAAAACTTAGTTTAAGGTTGTTAATTCAGCCTACAGTTCCAGGGACACTCACACTCAAAAAGGCATTGCAAGAGCAGGGTGCCCACATTGCCAGCTCCACACTTTCTAATCTCTTAATGAAAATTCTTCATTTCATGAAAGGAAATGAAATCTCACTATTTCCATGAGTATCATTTCATGAAGTTTCAGTCATTCCATTCCATTTTTACTTCATTTTAGAATTTCATTTTTTTCACACTAACCTTTTAGCAATCTTGGTGCTGTAGCTGAGATGTCCATCCCCATTTATGGCCCTAATCTGCAAGGTGTGAAGGCAGCAATGTTGTGCCCTGCCATAATCATCTTGTCATGTATTTTCCAGCTCCAATGTCCCTGGAGCTCTAGGTTCTTTTTCTCTCTTAACCCCAACTCTAGGCATCTTGTTGCTGGGGCTGGGGTTCTGATCACCATGGGAGGTCCAGATTAGAAAGATGTAGGAGCAGGATATTGGTGCCCTGTCAGGATTGCCCTGGCATGCCTTTTCCAGCCCCAGTTTTCCTGGAGCTGTATGCTCTGAAGCTCTCTGAACCCTAACCTGAATCCTAATGGCAGCTTGTCACTGCTGCTGTGATCCCCATCGTCGTGGCTGGCCCAGATTCCAAAAGTGAATAATGAGCAATCTCAGTACCCTGCTGTGATGAAATTTCTTCATTTTTTAAAAGGAAATGAAATCTCACCATTTTAGTGAAGTCATTTCAATGTACTTCATTCCATTCCAAAAATTTAACTTCTCCTAAGAATTTTTTTTTTTTTTTTTCAATTCCGTTTCACTTCCTTATATTTCCTTTCATTGTCTTCTCCCTTAACTTCATTTGCTGATTTCTTGTTTCACTTCCTTTCATGAAAGGAAATGAAATCTCGCTATTTCAATAAAAATCATTTTATGAAGTTTCAGCTCATTTCAATGCACTTCAAACAGATCACCTATAATAAGAAATTTACCACAACTTCTAGTGTTCCGTTTTCGTATATTGTTACATTATTGTCAGTGTGGTAAATATGTTGAAATACATTGTACATCAATAAAGAATCACACACTTATTGTTAATTACTCAAATTTTACTTTCACAAATCTGAGCAGTGGGTAATTTCTCCTTACAAATGCTCTACTTGATCTTAAGAAAGGCCAACTGAAACACTATTGTTTTCTCAGGTCTTTACCACTTCTCTTCAAGCTGTATCAAACAAGCTACAATATGAGATGACATGCTTGTTGGTGGGGAAATAATATGCCTCTGAAAACAAAATTATATAAATAAGATCCATTTAATTATTCACTGAAGGCTCAATAAACAGAAAACATTAAAATACCAAAAGTTCTGAATGGCAATCATAAAATATGCTTTAAGAAAATTCAGAGTAATGACATCCATCAATAATTTTAGCAGAGATTTCTGTACTGTGACCAGAAGTGAACTACTTGGAGAGCTTCTGAGGCTGAATCCCTTCAGTATTTCACAGCTTAAGAATGTGGCTTCCTTTGGCAGCCCCCAGACACTGCCACTGAAACCAGTCTCCAGCCTCAGCAATCTCATGGCTGAAATTCTCATTCCCATGTCTCTTCAGCTCATCCCTGCAACGGCTTTACTTGGATGGCATTTACTTTTGTCTCATTGTGTTTACTGCTGTCCTCTATTTGCTCAGCGTCATCACTGGTGATAATAAAAATGACAGAGGAAGAACTGAAAGTCACTTTCTTCTTTGGCCTGTCCCCTGCTTTCTGAGACATAACTATGGGTCGTAATGGTTTGTCACTCCCTGTTGCTGGTGTCTCTCTCATTGTCCTCTGGAACCTCATCAGGCGAAAGCACAGGAGTTGCAAAAGGCAGCGTCGAAACTGCAACACAGAATAAACAGAATTATGTTCAGCTTCCTAAACATTCACTGTCACCTACAAGCAACTGGAGGGCACAGTACAGTAAATGACTCAGAATAAGAGACTTCTGCATATCTTCTGAGTTAGTTTCAGTAACAAAACATGCTGCCTTTGTAGTGGGTACTTTTTCTCTCTACATCTGAATAGGATAACTGAGCCAACAGAGGGCACTGAAATGCAACTGAATATTTTACCAGCTACAAGCAAAAGACAAGAGAACTAGGTTCCAAAGTGTGCTGTAGGTTTTGTTTCCATATTCAAAAATCACATATTAGATCCAGCAGGGAAAGAATATTCTCAAAAACATTCACAGGAGGATACAGAGGGAAGGAACAAGGGGAGGAAGGGGATACAAAGGCATGTTTTCTTCCTTTTAAGTAACTCCGAGGTCTGGAATTTTAACAAAAGCATTTAATGTCACAGCTGTAAAATGAAATTTCAAATGTTAGTAACACAGAAGTCAAGTGTTCCCATTGAATGTGGATGGAACAGAAGTCTTTCAGATAAACAGCAGCTACCTGTGATACAGGAAGTCTGTTCTACTGTGTGACTAAGTGATGTGAGGTATTCAGTGAAAGCTCAAACCAGCACACAGAATGGAAATTTGAGTAGTAGCACTGTATTAATGTTCTAATTTTGGTCTCCCCTTCAATAAACAAAGATCCAGGTATGAGAGTTAAAGATGCATTCATTCAGTAGCTGCATGTCTGCACATATTTAAAGCTCAAACATGATCCTTTGGAGAAGAACCCTGGATCTACAAGAAATAAGAAAGAACTTCCCCTTTGCTTAATAACCTGTAACAAGAATTGCCTGAAATGTATGAAGAAGACTTCAATCAACCAACCAAAATACCAAAAAGCCCCAAAACAAAAAGAACAAAAATCTCAAGCACAACAAACATCTGGGAGCAGGTGGGAAATAATGCACCTTTTCTCTGAAAAGGGGGTAGGACATCTCTTTCTAACAGAGTATCAAAGAAGTTAGAAAGTACAAGGATGTTAGAATGAGTTCAGATTAAAGGAATGCAATTGTAGAGAGCTTGTTTTAGGATTCCTTCTGAGGGTAAAATAATTTAAAAAAACATTAAGTAGAAATACTATCATTTTGGTCTTAATCTGGAATTAGAGGCAAGAGAAAAAACTTCACAATGCACCTGCAATAAGCGTGTTCAGATGATTGATACTTAGCTTGGCTGTGTCTTCATTGGCATTACACATGGAACAAATTTGATTTGCTGCTGGGTATCAGAACCCACAAAATGTTTTTCAGAAAAGATATTCAGCCTGACAAACTAGGTACAGAGTCAGTGCCAGTGTATTTAAAAAGTCACTCTGTTGAAAAAGCCTTTTTGACTGTGACTGTTGTTAGCTTCCCGTATCTAGGATAACTCTGATATTGTGTAACTGTGGGTCAGCCTGCTGTGAAATGAGCTGTGGGGGAAGAACAAGATGCCACATTGGAGGCCTCTTGCTTTTACTCAGGAAAGCATTTAAGCTTCCTCTTGCCCTGGGTCCTGACCTGAGTTGCACTCAGCCTCTGCTTGGCTGCCTGTGTGGCTGATTGGACCTACTGACTTGGCCTCCTCATCCCCACAGGCTGCTGGCTGGCCCAGGCTGCTGCCTGACAACTGCAAGCCAGTGCAGGAAACGACAGAAAATTCCATCTCTATAATGGGTTTAAAGGTAAGGAAAATTGACCAATACCCCTCCAGCAATCAGTCATGGGTTTTTACCCTTTGTCAAGGGATTCTATTAAACTCCAGATATCTTTATACAATCTTGATTTCAGAAGTTTCAGAATGTGCATGGTATCTTTCAGTATCAGTCCTTGTGTTGCTGTAACACAGAAGTCAGAAGCAAGTTTTTTTTATTCTTAAAAAATAGACATTGATTATTCTAAACTTCCTTTGATGGAATTCTGCTGTAGTAAGGGAGTGATTCCGATGAGGTTTTCTACTAACAATCCATTTCACAGGTAAACTGTCAAAACTAGAAATTTAAATTCTGACACTGTTTCCTGTCCCTTTTGTCAGTTAAATGTTTGAATTTACATATAAGAAAATTACATTTATGATCTGGTGGTATTTAAGCACCATCAGGGATTTTATTTCTTCTAGATTGTTACCATTTATCCTAGCTGTTGAAATTTTTAAATTTTTTTCAGTGTATCAGACCTAAACTTCACAAGTGTAATATCTGCTACTAATAATTCAAATAAGAAAACCTTTAATGTACCTACCTTTCTACTCATGAAGATATAGATAACTGGATTATAAGCAGTACTTGACTTGGCAAAAAAAGATGGAATGATAGCTACTGTTGGAGTTACAAGGTTGCTGTAGCCGTATGTTATCAAGAGGGAGACCACTGCATAGGGCATCCAACAAATAAGGAACGTGGAGATCATCAAGAAACACATTTTAGCCACCTTCTTTTCATATCTTAGAAGTTTGATCACTTGAACTGTCTGGAAATCTTCTACACAGCGAAGCTGTAGAGAAAAAAAAAATCATAAAATAAAATAGCTTTATGTTTTACTTGAACCAGAATAGTTTTACATTTATTTGTAAGTAACTGACTCAATCTCTTAGTTTAAGGCACAGACACCATACACTTTATATTTTAAACTAAAATTCTTCTTGAAGCTTACATAATGTTTCTCAGATTTTATTGCCTACATTAAATGCAAAAATACAAGCTGAGAAAAAATAGAATAGCTAATCTACTACAAAACAACAAATCAAGAGATGTAACAAAGCATGCTGCAGTTATAAGTACTTTAGAAAAATAACTTGCCCTCAGCTATTGCATAAGCAAATTCAGTTTACATTAGTGATCCTTTGTCTGACAGTTAGACAGTCCTGTAGATTCATGGAAAAAAATCTTTAGAGAAAAAAAAATTCATAGATTTCTCTGTAATGCTTTGTCACATAGTATGTTACCCTACAATCATGAAATCTCTAAAGCAGAATACTAGGCAGCAGGTTCCCATGTTACCTAAGTCATAAAATAAGGAAAATATAGGACGTGAACATACTCCACAAATTATCCATTCTCCCAGTACTGTTGACCATAAACTTGAATGGGTCCGTTTGTCCTGCTAAAGATTTGAATTGAATTTTCAGGTGAGGATCTGATGTGGATTAGTAAACACAAACCATTCTCTACTTCCTCCCAGTAAAACCACACAACAAATAGACCTCGGTGGCTCTAGGCTAGTTCTCTCCCAATCCTACAACCTATCTAGTGCTACCTGACATAGGTGAACATCAAATAATTCAAAAGTTTAAAAGGGATGTGAGAGTGCAAATTTGGCTTGGATCCAACCTTAATATACATCTTCAACATTTTTCACTGACAACATTACTTTAAGGGTAGTCTTTTTTGAACTAACTTACCATTCTTACTGCATGCAGAATATGGCCATAGCAATAGGCCATGATCCCTACAGGTGCTACTAGACAGCCAAGGAAAAAAAGGAGCACAAAGGAGGTATCATTGGGGTCTTTTGACTTCCAGTCCACTGAGCAACCTAATCCATGAATTTCCAGTGTGTATCTGTTCCAGCCCAAAAGAGGTGCTCCTGTCCAGGCCAGTGAGTACAGCCAGATGTATGTGATAGCCCGCCAAGACCAAGAGAAGTCAATCACTTTTGCATGGACCACCCGAATGTAGCGTTCATAGGCAAGAGCAGTGAGAGTCATAATTGAAACAATTCCTGTAAAAAAAAAAATCAATTAAATTATTCACAAATACTGTAAACTGGACTGCACTCCTCTTGATAAATGTTTCCTTTGCTAGAAGGTTAACTCAAAATTACCTAGCTCATATTATGAATCTAACACCACTAAGATTTTTTGTGCATCACTCACTAACTACTAAGCCAAACAGAATCACCAGCTTCAAACTACTCAGAGTAGGACACCGATATCTGATCTAGGATGTACAATGGCAAAGAAGTGGGACAAGGAAAGAGACTAAGCCAACACCTCTTCCTAAACATTACTTCATTTAGTGAGGGATCATAGTCCAAGGTTTGGGGGTTTTCTCGCTGGCAGTTGTTGTAGGGTTTGTTGCTGTTATATGTTCTTTTGGGGTTTGTGGTTTCCTTTGGCTTTTCAGGCTTTTTAAAAGAAAAAGCTATCATATAAAACGGAGATAATCAGCAAAAAAAAAAACCTCTTAAAAACTTAGTGAATTGAGACCGAAATTAGACAAAACCTTCAGCACCTGAAAGCAGAGATATTCACCTTTAAAATTACTAGAAGAATTCCAATTTATTTCAAGATATCCTGGAAGTGTTTGCATTCCAAGAAGAACCAGGAAGGCAAAGCATTACATTGCTGAAGGTGTCCCATCTGAAAGACATTCAGTTATTTTGAGTGGTTCTTTCCTATCTTGCTGCTTTCATAAAAATGCTGTCCTTGTTTATTTATGCACTCTTTTCCTTTTCTGTCCACCTCAAACCTAGTACACAATTATTAACATGTTATGATAGAAATCATACATTATTTTCAGCTCTCAGTATTACCCTATCCAGACACTTTTAAAATTTCATGAAGCCAAGGCATTTCTGTCTTGATTAGAATATAAGGATTTCTACTTCAATGGTCTATAACACTTGATGATCAAAACACAAATTGCCCATCAGGCAACCGCCAGACATCCGAAATCTGCTATGATTCAGTCATCAAGTTCATAAACACAGGCTCTTAAACAACAAAAGGGTTTATTTCCCAGCATTCTGTGAGATTATACTTATATCTGTGTCTAGATCTGTATAGATTTTATCTAATAGAAAGCACAAGTTGTTTTTTTTTCATGCATATGCACAGCACCTAATTTCTCCAAGTACATTCATATGTGTCATAAGCTCTAAGAAGCTTAATTGTGCAGATTTCACCACCAAAGAGAGAACAAGCATTTTATACTCAGCAAGAACCTGATATCACTTTGAAAAATGATAAACATTTATGGAAGATAAATTAACAACAGCACAGAAGGACCAGCAACATGGATTTTAGGAAGGCAACTAAGAATAACAAAATCTAGAGCAGCACATAGCCTGTCTGTAAAGGCATTCAACAGTAAATGCAGTTTATTGTTAACCAAGTATCTCACAGTAGGATATCCTTTAGGATTCTAAGAAAGTTACTTTATGCTGTAGTTATTAAAATATTCCCTTTTTATAAGCGGTGATCTTAGAAATCTTTATTGTTTAAAAGATTTCCCACTCTAATAGAAAATGTGCCACACTCTTTCATAAATCTCTTTAAAATTAAAAATTTTAATGTGCTTTTTTCTAGTTATCTTTAAATCTTCATCACAAAAAGATGGCTAAAATACAGATGTTCACAAGCAATACTTTCCTAAGTCTTCCTTGACATTCTCAAGGAAGTTATTGAATGCTCAGTATCTCTAAAAATCAGTATGTGGACATTTGAACAATGTCCTATCAAATCCTTTTCAATATAAAAGCACTGCTTTTCAAAGACATACTTGAATTTTCCTCCCTGAACTGTAAGTGGGACTTCAGGCAGCCTGTTGGACAGTATGCACCAAAATGCAAATCCCTGTTCTGTTGGTATTCAAGGAGTGTCTGGCAGCACACAGACTTTGAGGCAGGATGCAGGTCACAGCACAAGATGTATATGATTTATGCATGCGTATGGCTCCATTTTCTATGTTTCATTCAGTTTCTGTAGTCTAGTGCAGAAAAAAGCACTGAATTTTACTTCCCTCCCTTCCCCCACTCCTCTACCTTTTCTGGAAATTATTAAATTTCATCCTGAGTTGCATATTTTAATATGATGAAATGCATGCTGATTAAAAAACCAAATCTATTACAGAAAGCCATTATGGTTATTGTTTGGCTATTAGCCTCCTCTTAGCAAAAATACGCATTTCAATTAAATTTCTACCTTTTATTTGAAGCAAATTCTGTTATGCTTCTTGAGGTACTGGGGATCTATATATTTTGATTCAAGGCTAAGACCCAAGATTCTGAGAGTTGATTTAGTCTACCAGTAATTCACTCTAACTCTTTCAAAGTCTTTACTGCCCAGTGTTTACAGAGACTGCATGTCTGATATACAGATTTTCATCTCAGACAATTCCCCTGTCTGCACGTGCTGATTATGAACATAAACACTCTGTGTTTAGGAACTGCTGCTAGTTTTAGCTCTGATCTAAGCCTGGGCAATTACCCTAGCACAAATGGGGTGATTCCCATTGAAGCTGCAGATAAATGTAGCAAAACTGAAGTGTCTTCTTGTTTAAGCCACTAGTTTGCGATTTCTATGTTGCAACTCCTCTTCTTCTCCAGCAGCCTGCCACACAGAATCAGGGAGCTACTTTTTGTTATTTGGATGTTTATGAAGAAAATTCTCATTTTTGACATTTTGTATTGTTTTCCTACTGAAACACTGCATTCAGTGTAGATTTGATTATGTACCATATGTGCTAATTATCTCTTGTTTATTCTGGGCTTTTCTGGAAGACAGTTCTGGATACATCATTAAATACTTCAATCTGCATAGTGTAGGTCATTACAGAGAAGACGGCAAAACACAGCTAAGCTGTACTGCATTATACTATACAATGCGTATATTCTGACTTTATAATCCTTAATTAGAAGAAAAATATTGCAGTGCCTTCATAACTGAAGTATTACTTTCAATAAGTTTGAACAATCACAACAGCTTCTGCCCTCTCCATGCATGATACACCTTATTTTCATACTGAGCCCTTGCCCCAAGCATGGCCTATAATTTGTTCAGAGATTATATCAAATATTCCCAAAGTCTGAGCATCTCTACAGAGCAACTGCAGCATAATGTAGCAAATAAGATCCATTTGTGAGACAGACTGTGGCTTCTGTCAGAGGGTGTGGAAGAGGTTTTACAGTGACTTCTGTGAGCCAGAGCGAAGTTTGCTAAGTGGATCCATGTTTACCCCTGAAAGAATTTTCTACCAATGTCATTGACATAGAAACCAAGAAAGAAATAAGGATAAATAAGAGAAACCTGCAACTGTCTATTCCAATAAGCACTTTGTTTGTCCTTCATGACCAATGAGTAAAGTGTAAATCTACAAGTTTTGTAAGAATATATAAAAAGCATGCATGCTATAATAAAAACAGTTTGAAGCCTTCTGAAAATGGAGTGTGTTGCTTTGTATAATCTCCATCTCAACTACGACAAAAAGGCATATTATCTTGTATATCAATTAATCCTTGCCCTACATTCAAGTGCTGAATAGTATTTTGCATACCTAATCACAGAAGAAAGCCATCCTTCTGCAATCCCTCCTCACCTCTTTTCACATCTGAAAAGCTAAACAACAGCAACTGAGTAGAAGCAACTTCCTGTCCATGGCAAGAAAAGGTGTTATTGCACTCCCTAGTTTTGTACTACAAAATATGTAACCAGTCTATCTGAATTCAGCAAATAGGCATTATAATAAGATGTAGGCACCAGCTATGTATCACTTTTAATTTTACAAGGAACTTCAACATCTGCATTTAAATCTAGATAGGTGAAAAATCATTTCTCTTAGACAAAACATACTTCAAGGATATTTTATATGTAGGTGTCCTATAAAATTATGGTGAAATAAATCACCTCTTCCAGATTCAATATTCCAAGTGATTAATTTAGTCTGGTTAAAAAAAAAAAAAAAGCAAGCTAAATCTGAAAGCACACGGATTGAGCCTCCAGCTATTTGTAACACAAGTTTCTAAAACTATCTCCTGAGTAACAATTGAAAATGCTTTTAGTGAGATTAAATCAGTGCATATAACATACATGGGTAATACAAGAGAGTGGTACAGGACATCACTGTCACTGTGCAGGGAAGAGCCCTAGATGAACAGGCTGCAACTGAAGCCAGGTCCAGAAGACACTCTCAAGCAATTAATCCTTACTTCAGTATTTGGTAGGTGTGGTGGTATAACCTTGCCTTGAAACAAATAAAAGAACCTGAGCTGTACACAGAGTAGTTTTTCACAGAAGAGTACAGTCTGTAAAATTCTTACAATTTTTCCCATCCTCTAGTTCACATTACTGGAATGGAGTATACACCCAGATATCAACATTGATTTAATAGCTCATTGAGATCTAGCTGCTGCATTCCAATGGTAAGTTGTCCAGAAGGGACATAATACTCTAAATTAATTTGACATTAAAAGCTGGCAGCGTTTGTTTTACCCTTACAAAAACAGCTTGCAGTTACGAAAGACCGAGGTCTCTAATCACATTTCAGTAACAGTAGACTTTCACTTGCAAACAAGGTTTAATGATACAAAGCCTACCCCAGAGTACACCCTGACTATGCAATCTTCTGTCAAGAGACTGCTTCAGATAAAGAGTTTTGGTGCCTGTTCCTCAAGATCATTCCTGTTACCAACCAGTTTTTCCACTCATTTATTCCATTACACAATTAAACTTAGAAGGTGTTAGAACACCAGTACTGGCCAATGGTTTAGCTACCATTACTTTTAGCAAAAGTGATTTATGCTTGAGGGGTTATTTGTGCATGCTCCACGTGATAAGACCAGCTTACCTCAAAACCCTCAGGGCCTATTTCAATGTACAGAAGGTATTAAAGCAGACACCCACTGCCAGGGGGTGAGCAGTATACAAATTTCTGTTGGGCACATCAAGTTCTGACAGTCACTGTCATTCAGAAAAAAACCCCTTAAATATCTGTAAGCAACCAACAGATAAACACAGAGATCATAACATCCTGACCCTGTATTTCACAATTACCCTCTTATCTGAAGAAAGAAATTATTTATGTCTGCTAATCAAGACTTTTGGGTATGTTTACCAGTCAGGTATATTCTCAGGAAATCATAACCAAAAAGCTATGCTGTCAGTGATAGCACACCTCCCAGATATCAGTTGTACTGCTAAAACAGATAAAGAGATTACACAGACCTCTACTACTTATGGCTTGGTTGACTACAGACAGGGAAAGAGTTAAAAGTGTTTTACATAAAGCGAGGGTGGCAGATGCAGTAGGGCCTGCACAGAGCTGACTGCACACCTCCATAGAAAAGTGACCCTCATGATATAAATATATCACTTAATTGATGCACAGCTATCATATCACACCAGGATATACCACCTGTAACAAAATAAACACTGGAACCCAGCAAACAAAATTAGATGGGGATTAGTGTCTAAAACAGACAACTGCGTCAGGAAAGCTTAGACTAAGACTTGTCAGGTAATCATTTATGTCGTTTTCCCTGCACTAATATATGAGGTGCTAGGAATGGCTTTGTAGTTGAGAAAAAAATCCCTTCTCACGGCCTCTGCTATGAAAACGTACACCTAAGCTGTATCTTGACTTCAGAGTCTAATGAGTAAAAGAAAAGAGGGACTGTTATTTGTGTGACGAGGACAGATGTTCAGTAATCAAAATTATCAGTTTTGCACTGTAGCAAGCAGGTCTCTGCACCTTCTAAAGGCTCAATGAAAATCTTTCAAGTCACAGAAAACAAAGGCAGTAGCACAAACATCAGGCTCTGAGCTGTGCAATGCAGCTCAAGAGCAGATGTTACTATATGGCCTTGTCTCAAGATAAAGTTATAATAAGGCAGAAGTAGACTATTGTGAGGAACACAAAAACCAGCCATTTATTCCTAGACAGACATCTGTAGTTATGCTGCCATCTTCTCAACTTAAGTTTCAGACTGTGAACATCTGCTTACAGTGTCTAAGTTCTGGATTTTATCACATCTGTAACCGGCTGGCAAAATGAGAAGCACTCTTACAAAGAAAATGGTCAACTCTTCAATGCAAAATTATTAGAAGTGTAGAGAGTGCCTTCATACCTGTGAGGAAGGAAAGAAGTTGTCATTATTCTGTAATGAAAGCTTTTGAAAATACAGATGCTACTAGTTTATTCTAAGCACAAATGCCACCTATGTATTTAATCATACTGAAATCCTTAAGAGGAACACAGAAATACCTTGATCTCAGTTTTCAAAACAGCATGAGGAAAAACCTTGAAACAAAACCTTAAAATTTAAAATACAGCTGCTGAATCATGATTTTCAACCTGATTCCAGATTAACTGCAGAAATTAGGAAGAATCTGATTTTTAAAATTGGTTGAGAATTATCTCTGAATTTAAAGTGGAAATTCTATTTAACAAAAAACAAAACAAAACAAAAACAAAACAAACAAACAAAAAAGCAGATTTAATAATTTGTCCCAAACTTGTTTACTATCAGGGGAACCTCTCATTTATAAGACAACACATGCAGAGAACAACTTACACCATGTATTGGGTCTTAGGGGCTTGTTCTTCCAATTAAAAAAGATGCATAAGGATGGAAAGTAAGACTGAACAGCCTTTGGGTGAAGGGCTGCCACAGAAAGCTCACATAGCAATGTCCAAGATCATATCCAAGAATGAAATCACAAAGTTGTAAATAAAGAGGTTTTGGTCATCTCATCTAAAATGAGCCAGACTGAGTCCAACCCCAAGACATATTCACACCACTAAAGTAACCTCACATGATCTGTTATGGTTTAATAGACTCCATATCCATGGTATCAGAGCTACCCCCCCTCACCTTATTCCAGAAACATCTTCATTGTGGCTTACTGAGAATTGAACACTGCAAAGCTGTAACGCTGCTTAGTTAATGAGAATTTCACTTTTCAAAGCTGTTAATTTCGTATGTCTTTTGATCAACAAATGTACTTTGTATTCCCAAAAGTTCCTGGGAGAGTGTTATACATTCAGAAGCACTTGTGAGTAATACAAGTAAGACTTCCATTGCATTACTTTCCCTACCACCATCACCTCAAGATAACAGGTGACTTGGGTTGCTATATACAAAAGTATATTTATAAATATAATACCTGGTTACCCTAAATGAAATCTTTAATCAGCATCTTCACCTATACCAGGTGGAAAAAACAAACAAACTCATGCAAATAAAAACCGAGGAAAAAACAAACAAAAACAAACAAAATCCAACCAAAATATCTAATCTGAAGCAACAACAAAACATTATCAAACAGAAACAAACAAACAAAAGCCCTTCAAATTACTGTTTTTTCCATAAATACATTACAAAATGAACATAGAAGCCATGGTAGCAATAATCCAGATGGCAAACAGTACAATGTTAGCTGAGGGGCATAATTTGTAATTTTTTTTTCCTCAGCATTGACATGCCTCTGCTTTCCTATGCAGGTGGGGAACCACTTATCTTCAAAAACAGGAACAAAAAAGCCTTCTATTTCTAGATTAGAATATTAAAACAATACTGTGGAGGTTAAAATTAGACATCACTTTATCAAATTAGCATTCAACTATGATAGACAAGTTAAATATTTCCTTTGCTTTACATGGCAGCTTAGAAGAGTAAATTAAGGCACCATTCCTGAACATTAAGTTGTGAATTTACTCTCCATATGATCAACTACACACAAACACATACTTTTCTAATAATAATAGAAATAAAAAAAATTCTTCCCAATGAAGCACATTATGGAAAAGGAACATAGCATGACCAACCACAGGAAGATGTAATTTTACAAACCATAGAAGCTAACTTGACCACTGTCTAGACAAGGCCCATGAATTTGCCTACATTTATTTGTGAAAAAAATTCTTAAATATAGGGATGCAGGAAAGCATCAACACTAAATATATTTATAGTAACAAATTATGTAGCATACCTCAAAATAAACAGAAATTAAAAGTCACATGCAATCAAGTAATTTCCTTGCCAAGTTATATACCTCATTGTTTCTATTTCTACTATTTCAGAAGATGGTATGAGATGATTAGAGTTTGTTTTTTTGCCCTTACTATGTATCTTTTTTGAAATTATATGCAATATACCTCCATCAAAAATAATAAGTATATTATATATGAGATAAAGATAGGAACAGAACTGTACTTTACATCCTCTATGTAAGATTAACATTCTGGCATTAACATGTCTGGCAGCATCTGTTTGGCAGACAAGTACTTGAGTTTATCAAGAATTTGAATAGGCTGAGTGATGGAGAAAACCTTATGCCAGCAAAGTGCTTAGTACTTTCCCTGATACCAACAGGCACACAAACATCTGAGGTCTGTGCACTACAGAAATTATCTGGCACCAAACACCACACAAATTATTAACTACATCCTACACCCATCATAACTTTCAAGACATAAAATTTTTGCTGCACTATGCAGCAGGAGTCAAACCAGCAGCAACAACCACACACCTTCGCACAGTAGCCAACAAAATGCTGACCACAGAGCCATGTGAAACAAAGGTTATGTATGCAGGAAAGCTACAAAGCTTATCCAAGACTTTACTGTGTCACCTGAGAGTCAATTTTCAGTGTATATATGTCCAGTGGGTGCACTGTGATCCATCTCTTATTTATACACCTCTGCCAGCAGAGGTATCTAACATGAGCTTTAGATTTTGTAACTGGTTAGCCAAACATTTACTTTCACCATTAGAAACATGAGTGTCTTCTTTTGCAGCATCTTTTACTGGCAATACAAAAGCAATATTCCTTTTAAGAGGCTGCAATGTACATAGCTGGACTGCTACCTAATCTTCTGCAGACTTCTGCAAAGGGTATGTATTAATTTCAGGAAGGAAAGCAGTGAAGAGCTTAAAGGTTTTGAAAATGGAAATAGTAGTGTTAGAATTTCAGTGGTTTCCTAAAGCCCAACTGTAACACTGTTATGACTGAAAGATGGTACCTGCATTTCACACATGGATTCAAGGCGCTTCCACACACTGTGTAGCTTTATAAACAGACAAGTCACAACGCTGAGAAGGCTGCTGGGGAGAAGCTTTCCACCTTTTCCACAGAGGTGGAACACTGCTGACCCTACATCCAGAATCACACATGCTCCTTATCCGCAGACTGCAGCTCCTATAAAGTGGTTTCTGCTCATGAATTCTGCGCATCACTTGGTCAACTCCAGACTTCTTCTAACAGCGCTGCTTCTCTTTTCCCTAAATCACACCTTACACAGGCAAAGGCAGGAGATCGAAAAACTGATTCTCGAATAATTTCTTTTTTTTTTTCCCTTCGGGTCGTTTTCTCCAGCACTGTCGCTCTTTTTTTATCAAAAACCGCCGGCTCTACCCCCCGCCGCCCCAACCCCTTCGCCAGGGCGGCGACTGAACGCCCCGGGCCGGGCTGCCCCGCAGGAGCGGCAGGGCTGAGGCGGTTGGGGCAGCGGGGATGGAGCGGTTGGGGGCGTTGGGAAGCGGGGACGGGGCGCTTGGGAAGAGGCAGGGCTGAGGCGGTTGGGAAGCGGGGACGGGGCGGTTGGG